AAATAAATTGAATGAAATGATAACACTAGCAAAAGAACAACAATGTTTTAGTTCGGGAAGATAATGTACCGAACCTATATTTATAATGAGGCACGAGCAAAAGAAATCATTAAAATACAACAAACTGACATATCTACTTTTCATGGACGTTATGAAGGTATTTGAAAGGTCAAATTAAGGGACGTTATCCACTTATTGTATGCAAGAGATATACCTCTAAGATTAATCAAAAAGATCAAAAATATCTACCAAGAAAACACAATAAAAGTCAAAGTAGAAGAAGCTGACAATGGTATAAGACAGGGAGGGACAAGTGAAGATGATTTACAACGTATGCTGCACCAATTTAATATACCCGCCAGAAAATTTAACATGTTAGTTTCCCCAAAAAAGATAAAATACTACTACTATCGGTTTACAGCGATCTCAGACGCCTTCTGACTCCTAACCGCCATTCTTCTCTATTTAACCATAGACCTGGAGGGATTTCTCTTTCCTCTAGTTCTTTTTCAATTCCCTCTCTCCAGCATCTTCTCGGTCTTCCTCTTTTCCTTCTCCCTTGTGGTGTCCACGTCAAAATCTGTTTTGGAATTCTGTCATCTGGCATTCTCTGTACATGGCCGTACCATATTAACTGTTTTGTTTTTATGTCATCAACTATCGTATGCTTGACTCCCATCATTTCTCGTATTCTCTCATTTGGTATCCGATCTCTTCTTGATTTGCCTGCTGCTCTTCTCCAGAAGTCCATTTCTGTTGCTAGTAACAGTTTCTCTGTTCTTTGTTTCATTGGCCAAACTTCACTGCCATATGTGATTACACTTTTAAGTATGGTGTTGTATATGAGTTGTTTGTTCGCTTTAGATATTGTTTGGTCCCACAGAATGCCGTTCATCATGGATATGGCTTTTCTACCCTGTATGTTTCTGTCTTTTATAGCAGCATCGAGTGTTCCATCTTGAGTTATCTTCATACCCAAGCACTTGTATTCTGTAAAAAGATGAAATGCATGATTATAATAGCAAATTGACTAAGATGTAAATTGGAGCTGGAAGGTCAGATAATAGAAAAGTGATGGAGTTTAAATATCTAGGAATAATACTATCTATAGTTTATTTTTACGAACGAGAGAGTAATTAGCATAATTTTAACTGGTACCTCCGACCACTCCATGGGCGTGCTGAAGATTAATTGAAAAATTACTTTGAATAATTGTAAAAAATAAATGAATTATTTCAGTGTTATAAAGTGTTATGTGTATGTAAACAAAAGTGACCTCTTTTATCACACACTATATTAGAACTGACTGGCCTACATTAAAAAGGGTTTTAAAAAATTCACATTTTTTTTAATTTTTAAAAATTACAAAAGAGAAAAAGAGTTTTTAAAACCGTCTAAGGTATGTTAAATAGATGAATAAAAATATTAATACAAAACTTACAGCTACTTGTTACAAATCCAAATCAGATTCAGAAGATGAACTTTCAGAACCAAGATTTATAATAACTGGCTCGATCATTTTATCAGTAATATTGTCCAGCTTCAACATTTTTTCCTCTTCTTTAATAGTGTGATTTACTGCCTTTTCCCAGTTTTCAGGTTTTACATTATTTACGGCCTCCAAAAACAACTGTTTAACATCATGAATTTTAAAAGTGGTATTTTTTCTTGAAACTTCACTCTTTATCTGTGCCCATACCAGTTCAATCGGGTTTAATTCACAATGATATGGTGGGGATCTAAGTACTGTCATTCCACAATTTTTGGCAATTTCATCAATTTCGTATTTTTTAAATGTTTCTTTATGCAGGGCATACAACGAATAAAGTTCCTTTCTTATAGATCCGGGATGGTACGTAATATTTTTTGAACTCAGCCAATTCTGCAAGTCTTTTTTTAACCACTTGGTTGTGGGCAGTCCTTCTATAAGTCTAGAGTGATAACTTGCATTATCCATTACTATTACACAGTTCTTAGGAAGAAGATCTATCATTTGTTCGAACCATTCTTGAAAGACATCAGCGTTCATGTCTTCATGGTAGTCACCGGTACGAGTTGATTCAAAAGTTAATAAACCACCTTCAACAAAACCGTCTGAACTGCCAATGTATACTATTATCAGCCTGCGTCCCTTTCCTGATGGTGGGTTTAAACCAGTAGATAAGTTATTTACAAGAGCATGCCTTTGACTTGTAACAGTTTCATCCTGCCAAAATTTATTTGGTGTATGACCCTCGTTGATCCATGTTTCATCAAGATAAAATATTTTTCTTTTTTGGTTTCTCATTTCCTTTATGGTTCTTAGAAAATGTCTTCTCCATATGACAATATCGCTTCTTTCTAATAAAATAGACTTTCTGGGATTCTTTTTCCAGCGGAAGCCTATTTCTTTTAAAAGTTTCCATAACGTACTTTGACTCATTTCTGGGTAATCCTTATCATCTCGAACTGAGACAAAAACTTTATCCAATGTTGGAAATTCTTGTCTAAAGAAGAATTCATGCACTTTCCGTCGAAGTCCTTCTTTAAAATGATAATCTATTTGAAATTTTGGTTTCCCTGGAGCATTACGTGGCATTTGAAAACTACTACATTTCTCTTCTTTAATAACTCTGTAAATCGTAGATTTCCCAACACCAAGTGTACTGCTAACTAACTCAACGGTCTCATCAACACTTTCACATAAACGTTTGTCTGTAAATGATTTAAAATAATTAAATATTAATGTTTTTTCATTAACTGTTAAAGGACCAATTTTTCGGCGTTTACACGGCACTTCCAAATTTTCAATAACACTAGTATACACAATAAACTGCACCTTGCAACTGAAGTACCTACTTTTAGTGAACTGTTAAGAATTTTGAATACGCCACTTGGACCTTCCTACAAAATGGAAAAACCCACTATCACATTTTCTGTGGAATAAGTTTAGAAGGTAATTATCTAGTCAATTACTGTCGTAGATTCGTGAAATTAAAGAAATAAATGTTTGATTGTTGAAACCCTTACTTCGTGGAATGCACTCATTTCAGATAAAATAAAACGTTTTATTTTACCTAAAGAATTAAACTTTATTTTGCAAATAGGTAGGTACTTATTAAACTTTTATTGGTTATATATAACCAATAAAATAAACATCTTACATTTCTTGCAAATTCATTAGTACCTGTTAACCTTCATCACTCCGACACTGGCAACCTTATTTAGGGATTAGTAACCCTCACAACTATTGTATTCCATTCTGCTCCAACCTTTATTCCTGGTGGTCATACTCAATTTAAAATTGTTTTCCTATATACTTCTGTAAACGTGTTGACAAATATCTGTTTTTCATTGAGTCACCCGTATCAACAGTTTAGGGATTTGCATACATAATTTATTGTTTTATTACTCTCTCATACATAAAAATACACTATAGCTACGGAAAACTCGAAACAGAAGTGGAAGATCAAGTGCATAGAGCAAACAAAGCCGCAGGTTGACTAAATAAAACAATATAGAGAAATAAAAATATCGGGAAAGAAATAAAAGTCAGAATTTACAAAACAGTCATCAGACCAATAATGACAGATGTGGCAGAAACACGACCTGGCACAGAGAGACAAAAGCAAAGTTCGAAACTGCAGAGATCAAAACACTTGGAAAAATTGATAAGAAAACACTATGGGACAGTGCTAGAAGTACAGGTATACTACGTAGATGAAAGGTGGAGATCAAGGACTGGATAAGAAATAGAAAAGTAGAATGGGACGATCATATTAGCAGAAAGTATACCATCCGAAATAATCTTTACTAAATTTAAATATTAGAATGAGTTTTTATATAAATATTTAATTCAATATAAGGTTGAATGTTCGAATAATTAAACTTTGAGGGTATACAAGGCAACTATCGAACACGGTGATTAATTTATTCTTGCCCAAGTACTTTCGATCAATAGATCATCTTCAGGGGCATTTCGTCAGTTGTGGCCTATCCGACATAAGTAGAATGTCATAAATGTAAAATTTGGACATAACAATACAAAATACAATACACAAAGACAATTCTATACAACATGTAGTTTCTCCTTAAAATTTTAAAGTGTTTGTTTGTCTTTGTGTATTGTATTTTGTATTGTTATGTCCAAATTTTACATTTATGACATTCTACTCATGTCGGATAGGCCACAACTGACGAAATGCCCCTGAAGATGATCTATTGATCGAAAGTACTTGGGCAAGATTAAATTAATCACCGTGTTCGATAGTTGCCTTGTATACCCTCAAAGTTTAAATATTTAATTTCCTTGAGCCTTTTGATACTTTGTAATATAATATCAATGTATATACTTAACCTTTTCTACTACTGAATACCTAGAGAAAATTATGTTTGCTCAAAAAAAAAACAGTTTTGCTGCTGAAAGAGTTAAGTATGATACTTTTGCAGCTTGCATAGTTTTAACATTTGGACGTTCGCTTTTATCCGTCACTCCAGCGCAAAGAGTTTCCTAACTGTGTGTTCACGTGTCAAAAGTGTTCTATCTCTTTAGACCGATTCTTGTCTGGTGTGTAACGTCACGTACAAATACTTTTTTATTGACTGTTTAACTTTTTAGTTTTCTTTAACCTAATATTGTTCGGAAACTATTTTCTTATGGCATTTTAAATTAATTACTATTTAACTGGAAATAAGCCACAAATAAAGATAAAAATACGTTTATTGACGTTTCAATTTCCATTTCGGAAACTTCGGAAATCGTTCTCAAAATACAAACAGTAAATTAAATTTTTTTTAACAAAATTTGTTTAATTTACTGTTTGTATTTTGAGAACGATTTCCGAAGTGGAAATTGAAACGTCAATAAACGTATTTTTATCTTTAAATCTTTAATTGTGGCTTATTCCCAGTTAAATAGTAATTTCTTTAACCTGATACATGCATCCATAATATATTTATAATAAAGGATTATTGTCCGATCAAACAATCACAAGGTAATCTCAAGAGATTTGGTGAATAAGTCATTAATTTAAAATAAAGTTTTATATTTTTATTAGTAAACAAGCGTTTTTATTACCTTAACATAATTATACATTAATCAATATTCACAAATGAAAAATCTACAACCACTGTTATCCAGAAGAATCTTTGACTAGTCTGTCCAAACCGATTTTCTCCAACTGGCCGCTGTAGTACGAATTGAAGTCCAATCTGAAAAACAACGATGTATCATTTAAGGCAAAGTAGCTGCCAGAAAGCTTACCATTTGACAAATTTTGGGTTTGGGAAATATCGGTTGGTACGTAGGGACGGTTATCTATTGACGGGCATAGGGCAAGGATTCTAATAAAAGGAATTGTATTAGGATTTTAACAATTTAAAATCAATAATTATAGTAAAACCTGTTAAACTTTAGTAATAATTATACTAAAATCATTATAAGAGTCATATTCATTTATTTTACTTTATTTTTTAATTAAGTATACAGAGAAAGTGTAAATCTATATATTTTTATCGAGTACATTAAAAAGAGTGCATTTTAAAATTGTAATAGGGGATGATAACAAAAAATAGGACAAAAGATCATGCATAAAGATGTGAATGAAGGAAATAGTAATGTCGAATCCAAATCGTAAATAACTTCATTTTTCCATGGAAAATAATATGCAAATTATGAACACACATATATGAAAGAAAAGATGTTTATAGAACAACAAGGATATCCTCAACCCGAAATATCACAAAGACATAGAGTAGAATATTAATAATATTAGAGGCTTTCGTGGTGCAGATAGTAATAGAGATCATTCTATTGTGAGTGCATTTATGACACATATATTGCAAAGACAGCAAAAAAATAAGCAAAAGTACTACCAAGTAATAGAAACAATATTAACAGAGTATCGAAATGCCGCGAGTGATATAAGAGCTTTTATTAAGGATCAAGTTTTGTGGAAATGGAAAAATGAATGGTAATTTTCTCAAACATCACTGAAGTAAATTAAAAACAATGAACAGAAAAGAACAATTGGTGATAACGAGATTGGACATACGAGACTTACTCAACTCATTCATATTTAGAATTTAGAAACTTACTCAACACTAGCGGACCAGATAAGCGGAGATATATTTACACTACCTTTATGAATAACATTTTACTGCTCTGTTGTTTCAATCAGCATTGCTCAACAAGTTATCGTTTATTGGTTTTAATATTTTATTGCAATAGTACGAGTACGGAATATTTATTTAAACAATGAATTTATTACATGTTAACGTTTTTTAAATTTCTTCTGACCTATCGTATAATGTAGGTTTACCCAATAATCAAAGTTATTCCTTTACAAGAACATATTATTTGAAAAATAAGGAGTATCATGTGTCATAATAATTGAGACCTATTAGGTCGAAATACGTATCAAGAGATACATAGGATTTGTTTGCGTGAAATCAAATATTTGCTACCTTTTCTCATTTTATTCGGATTTACTCTGTGTGAGTACTAGAAGCACAATTCGCTAAGGATTTCTGCTTAGTTGTAAAAGACATGTCGTGGAATGCAAATTTTAGATTCCCCATGTCTCTTTTAACATCTTTTATCAACGTCTGTTTGCCTTGCAATTTTTAGAAGGCTCAGATTATAAAGCAGAAATCTGAATTGTGTTTCGAAACTATTTTACGATTTCTATATTAATAGCTTTAAAGCTAAGAAGAATGGCCTTAAAAAATTTAACAAAACTTTAATATGCGTTTTTGGCTATAAGATAAAAAGTAATATTTCTTTATTGGTACTTGATTTTCGATGTCTATGTGGGTTTTTACTTAGTTTTGCAATTGCCAATAGTGGATAGACATCATTTAAATCGCGAAACGCAGCGGCGTGCTATCGGTATGCTTCAAGCTGGCAGAAGTCAAAGAGCCGTTACTGAGGTCCTCACACGAACAGAAATGTTATTAATCGTTTGTGGTTAAGGCGTCATAAACCAATAAGATTGAAGACCGTTTTATTAGGTTGCAGGCTTTGCGAGATCGCACTGTAACTGCATCACAATTACAAATTAGGCTGCAAGAAACCAATCAGGTGTTTGTAAGTAGCCAAACCATTAGAAATAGACTGCATGTAGTAGGGTTAAATCTCGAAGACCCGTGAGAGCGCCTGGTTATCCAAAGGAAATCGCGCTCATTGACTTCAGTGGGCACAAGAACACGCAAATTGGGTTAGACGTGAGTAGGCCTCTACTTTGTTCACAGATGAGTCCCGATTTGAATATCCACCAGATACAAGACGAACAAGAATTTGGAGACGATCTGGTAATGCTGAACGATTGGCCACCATGCGGGAGGTTCATAGACAGGCGGCTGTATAATGGTATGGGGTAGTATCACTCTTGGTGAAAGAACCAATCTCGTTTGTCTAGAACGGATTCTAAATGCAACACACTACAGCGATTTTATTCTTGAACCTACTGTTTACCCTTTGCATAACAAGCTCGTCCCCAAGTTCAATTAATGCACCACAATGAGCGTCTGCATTCTGCCAGGGTCGTGCGAAAATTTCTCGAAGACAATGAAATTGAGATTTACCACGGCCTGCACAATCGCCAGATTTAAACCTAATTGAGCATATATGGAACATATTGGACAGACATATTTTACAACAAAATATTGCGTTCAATACAAGACAGCAACAGTTTTTGGGCCTTTCAATGGAGCGGAACAGAAAATCGCAGCAAGACATTAGCCTGTGATGTCCTCTCGTAGGAGTCACTATCCGGGTAGCTTTTGGACAGTCAGAGACAGAGTTCAAAATAAAAATAAAACTTTATTGTCTTCCTTAAATTAAATTGACAAAAATCTTATGTACATATTTACAATTTGGTTTAGTCTTCTCAGTACCTGGCCTATTTATTCAAATTGAGTTTGACCTTGTCGTATGAAATTAGTCTTATCGGCAAGCGAGTGTGTTTTTGAAATTTGTATCGTTTTAATGTTGTATCGATTTAATAACAGCGGACGATAGGTACAAAGAAAGGAAAGGAACTCAACACGTCCCTTAAGTGATTCGGGTTAATAGGACACTCCTCGACAGTCTCAACACGACTGCTTCGGAGTACGGGTAATGAAGAGCTCAACACGCTCTTCGGGTAACGGCGGTATGGAACGGAACAACTTGTGAACTCAACACGTACACAAGCCGGGGTAGGGAAGAAGAGAACCTTCAGTCAACACCTGTCGATTCTCCTCTATGAGGAGAATCGACAGGTGTTGGTTTATATAGCGGAGCTTGGTAATTAGTTTTGCCCTTTCTACTGTCGATACACTCCTACTACATGGGTTGGTTCGCGCGCACGCTGGTTTAACGGTGATGGCTTGGACTCATCGTTACAAGCCATCTGATCATGAGTTAGCCTTACAGATGTAGGACAGTAATCAACAACCGTGGAGATCATACACTATACTAACTTAACCTGAACACTACTATGTTATAAGTTGAGAGGAAACAAATTAGTTGTTTATTATTTGTTTTTTGTTAATATTTTCTGACTTACGGAGTTCCCTGTTAATTTTCTTAAGAGCTATTAAGATAATTCTAAGAAAAAATGTTTATTTTATATTCGAGACACTTGTTTATACCTTTTTATTAAAAATATTTAAAATAAACTATTTGAAATCTTTCTGTAATCTCGCATTTTGTTTTTGTTCCCTAGATTATTTTGATGTGTGTATAAATTTTATACACACAGAAGTGGTTAGCTTAAAATTAAGTTTCTTCTGTATATAAAAATACGTTTTCGTGCGAAAATTAAAAATTATGTTGCGTTTTATTATATGCTATATTATTGAATTCAATTATTTAATTTCATTAAAATAGACTATTCACTCTTTATAGTAAGTTATTCAAACGAATCGAATATTTAAATCATAAAGGCTGTTAATTGTTAACGTGTCGACATTTTTATCCAGGTCACGAAACAAATATCAATTTCTATAAATAAGTCTTCGTACCTGTATAATAAATTGAAAAGCCTCTCGTGCTCACTCGTATCTCTATTCAGTTCATTGATTTGGTCCAATAACTTTATTAGTGCTCCAGAAAACGCAACATCGAAAAGTGAGATTCTCTCCTTAAAACTAAGTGTGGGTTCAGTGATCTCTGAATTTCCCTGGAAAACTAGTTCGTTCTGAAAAATATAAAATACATTCAATAAAAAAAATTATAATGGTAAACGGCGATGAGCGGGTGGGTGAAAAAATAGAGATTGGTTGTTAACCAAGAAACCATTCTTGATTCAATTATTAGCTAGCTAATAATATATTTTAATAAATTTGTGCTATGATTTGGGTTAACTGTGTTAAGAGTTTTTAATGTGTAATCAGAATAGTGTTTAGATGAGAAGTTGAAGTAGAAGTAACCGTCATGCACAGGAGCAAAATTAATTTAACTTGAATATTTTCAATCAAATATCTAATTTTCAAGCACAGATGCTGAGTGGGACAATTTAGAACCATAAATGATAGAAAACATAAAGGCATCATTAGGAGCTAAATATGCAATAATAAATTTTAAATAAAATAAAGCATTAATACCAATTAAATAGAAGATAATAAAAAGAAGATAACGGAAGGTCAACTCTACGTCAAAAAAAAATGCCAGTAGAAAGAATGACGCACTACAACTACCTCGGCACCACAATAAATGAAGAATACAAACCGGGAGATAAGAACGAGCATCGGAAAAGCTAGATCCATTTTCAACCAGATCTACTTCAAGTACCACAACCTTTCTCTTGCTATAAAAGTAATACTGATGAGATGCTGTCTTGTTGAATCTTGAACCTTGAACAAAGATATGTGCAGAAGATTGAAAGCATTTGAGATGTGGCTATATTGGAAAATACTTAAAAGCCTGTGTACGGACCAAGTCACAAATGAGGAGGTTATCAGGAGAATGAAGAAGAACCGAGAAGTACTGACCAAATCTCGAAAATTACAATAGTTTGGACACATTATGTGAAATGAATCCAGATATGCCCTCCTACAAGCCATCCTGGAAGGAAAAATATTTGGAAAGCGAGGTGCCATGATTTGTCATGATGATCGCCAACATTCGTCACGGATATGGACATCAAGAAAAAGAATATGGTAATTGGTATTGATATACCAATTAAGCAGAGTTTTAGCAATTGCAGAAAAATGAACTTTCAATTATTCTGCCGTTGATTAGTTCAGGGATTATCTAAGAAAAACATTCAAATATAAATATATCAACTACACTGCCCGTACACGCAAAACAACCTTTTTCTTCTTTTTGTGCCCTGCTCGATTATAGTGTTGGCTATCAAATTGGCTATACTAATTTTGTTGGCGACAGCTCGGAAACGGAATGCAGAGGATCAGTTAAAAACAACCACCAAATTGTATTCGAAGAAACACAGGTGAGTTATAGACTAGAAGTCTATGGGACATTTAATGGGTCATTTGACCCAGCATAAATCACATATAAATCAATACTTCTCCTTCTTGTTGTGCCTATCAGTTTCGGCTATTAGCGACCATCATGACAATCTGTATTTTGCACTTAACTTCTGCTTTGAAAAGATTTATGGTTGTTGTGTTGAACCACGTACAAAGATTTTTTAGCCAGGAAATCCTTCACCTTCCTGGTCCTCGTTTTCCTTCTACTTGGGTACCTTCTACAGTACTGGGTATTGATAAATCATAGCATTTGAATAGCTTAGCCATTTTTTGAAATGCAGATCTTGCTTTCTCCTACATTTTATTTCTAGGGAATGGTCCCAATTTTGATTGACGTTCGTACCAAGGTAGGTGTATGTTTTTACTTTCTCTACTGATTGACCATTCACACTGATTCACACTGATTTGCTGTTCCTTAGAGATCATCATACATTTTGTTTTCTTAATGTTTGGTGAAAGTCCATATCTCTGACTCACTTTTGTGATTCTATTCATTAACTCCTGGAGGGCTTCCTACCTGTCAGCGAATACCACCGTGTCATCCGTATATCTGATGTTATTAATACTTCTTCTTCTTCTTCTAGTGCCACTCCTATCCGAGATTGGAAATCATCATGGCCACTGCGACTTTGTTAGCAGCGCGCCTAAAAAGTTCAATCGAACTCCACCCGAACCATTCACGTAGATTACGAAGCCACGATATTTTTCTCCTTCCCACACTTCTTTTGCCCTTAATTTTGCCCTGCATGATGTTTCTTAAAAGTTCGTCCTTTTCACCTCTCATAATGTGCCCCAAGTATTCCATCTTTCTAGTTTTTATCTCATTTGGAATTTCACATCTTTTGTCTAAAGTTTGGAGTACTTGCGTGTTAGTGACGCGGTCCATCCATGATATTCTGAGAATGCGCCTATAGTCCACCTATAGAAAAGACATAGCACCGCAGCATTCGTATTCTTAACTTTATATTGATATCACGATTGCAAAAGAGTTTGCGCATTCTATTAAAGACTGATCTAGCGATTTCTATTCTACATCTAATCTCTTTTGTTTGATCAGTATCGTCTTTGATCCAAGCACCTAGATATTTATAACAGAGCACACGCTCAATCGTTGTATTGTCTATTACAAAATTAGCTCTGATGTTCTTTGATTTCGTGATTACCATAAATTTAGTTTTTTTCAAATTAATTTTCAAGCCGTAACTGTTACAGTATATATTGAGACTTTGAACGAGATGTTATAGTTCTACTAGCGTTCCCGTTAGGAGAACTGTATCGTCAGCATACCTTATATTGTTGATCGTCTCACCATTTATTATCAGACCAAGATCTTCTTCCTCGAGTGCTTGTTCACAGATAGCTTCACTATACAGATTAAATAAAAGTGGCGATAAGATAGATCCCTGCCGGCTTCTCGACGGATTTGAATTTCTTCTGTTAGTCTGCCCTCAACCTTGACATTTGCTGTTTGATTCCAATATAGATTGCATATAATTCGAATATCTCGGCTGTCTATATTTTTCTTTATTAGAACTTGTCTTAGTGGTTCATGTTGTACTTTGTCAAAGGCCTTTTCGAAATCAATAAAGCAGGCGTAAATTTCTTGGTCCATGTCTAAGCATCTCTGTGAGAGAACGTTCATTGCAAACAGAGCATTATTAATACATTCTCCGTTAATTCGAATTTCGGCTTCAACATGTTAAACAGTAGGGTGATAGTATACATCCCTGTCAGACCCCACGTTTGATTTAGATATCATCGGATTCTCCTGCCTCTGTACGGATAGGCGATTTTTATTCCAGTAAAAATTACTAATAATTCTTAGATCACAGATGTTTATTCGAATATTTGTTATATCCATCAGCTTGTCGTGTTTTACTGTAGCGAACGCTTTTGGTAATCAATGATATATATGTAGGTCTTACTTAAAAGTTCTTTTATTATTTTAAAGGGAACTAACGTTAGAATAAAAGTCCGCGATCCAAACGATACGTCTTTATTACACAACAATAAACTGTACGGATGGTATTTGCAGGTACACAATATTACAAGATTACGGATAATCGTCTGCAAATTAAAATATCGGACAACCCCTTCGTTAATTGTTTTCGTCGTTCGTCATTCCTGTGAACCTTCACAGCTCGAGTGCCAAATATCGAATCCCTTTTAGGTCAGGCATGTGTGATTTTGTCTATATTTTTCTGTCCTCTTTCCCCGCGATGGCAACCTGTCTCGGGCGCCTTAAGAATATGGTTTTAGTAGTATTTCGCAGTGGCGTAACTAACAAATAAAACTATGCTAAATACTTAATATAAGAAATATTTCCTACATATAAGCATTCATAAAATCTCAATTCATATCTCTACATCGTAGAAATAGCACTTGTATGCTAAAGAGAGCCTCTCTCGTACCCACTGCGTTCCAAAGACCAAACTTTGTACGGCTGATTTTCGCATAGTCTATATCCTTTGATGTATAATTTTTAGAAATAACTTTAAAATGTGGCTCATTAGGCTGATGGACAGGAAATCATTACAAGATACGGATTTTGTTTTCTTTGGAAGAGCAATAAACGTTGACTTCAGCCATGATCTTGGTATTACTCCGTTTACATATATGTCATTGAATATTTTAATTAGTCGTTGAGTCCCGTCGGTGTTAAATAGCTTTATGAGTTTAGCATATGCATTGTCAGGTCCAGGACCTTTACCATCTTTTAGTTGTGATATTGCGTTTTCCACTTCATCTGTTGTGATTGGTAAGTGGTCATTACGTATTTGGAACGGAGTTTGTTCGGAATTCCGGAATTCCATTGCAAAAAAAATTAATCTATATATCGATTCGAAACTGTGTGTATGAATGCTGTGTCACATTACCGAAAATGGGGAAAAAACATTTCCGAAAATAAAAAATGTTCCCTGCTCCTCGTACCAATATTTTTGTACGGCATTAGGTCGCAGGTCATTATTTTGTATTACCTACCTACTTAAGGCTGTTTTATCGGTACACCAAAACCTAGAGATAGTGTTTTCTCTGCTATTTACCGACAAAATGTCTCGAAATTTGGACACCTTATTCAAAATTATGTTGCCTTTAAACTAGTAGTTTTACTTTTTTAAATTTTTTTGAAAGTTCTTTTGAAATACCGGATTGTGCAGTTTAACGTTCTATTATAACCAAACTTTTTACGCCCATCACTTGAAAGAGTTTTTTTTTTCTGTAATCGTTGATTTTTTTTTCACCTTTCTGTGTCCAGTAATAATCGAGAAAAGCGTGTTCAAACTTTGAAGAAAATTGCTAAAAAATACTGAAATCTAATAGTGAAACATGTTACTCATCATTGGCACTTACTTCCAGCGTTATCGGCTTCGTGACGTCAAATCTCATGAACGTACGGTCAGTTAGTTCGATTTGAAATCATTTTCAAGCTATAACTTCGAAATTGTTTATTTCTTTGTGACAACAAATTGTATTTTTTTTTATGATAATATTTTTATGTTATTTTAAATTTATTATAAATAAACACCATGGAGAATATATGGAGAATAATGCATTTATTGTCGGTAAATTACCCGTGGGCCGGCGCCACTGTACCCGCTGTACCCGTAGTCGGCTGGCGTAAGCAGTGTAGAAAAGTAAGTGATAAGCCCATTTCAAATCGCAGTGTGCTGTGACTGCTAAAACAGCCTTAAGTTATAAATTTCGT